CTCTCTCTCTCTCTCTCTCTTTCTCTCTCTCTCTCTCGCTCGCTCGCTCGCTCGCTGTCTGTTTCCCATTCTGTAGTATTGTGACACAATGCAATTACTGGTAAGTCCTTTTTTGGCTCACTGAAAGTTGCCTTTTATCAGTAATTCATCGAAAGTCCGAAATTCAGCAGTCGTGGTAGATGAAGTCACAGAGATGTCCGTGAAACAGGGAGAAAGGTGCTTTTAATGCTAGGTGTAACAGGATACAATAGCTGTTATGATGGAATGTGCTGAGTTCACAATATTATTGTTATTGTGTGTGGTCAAATTGTATGTCGAAACTCTTTCAATTGCTCCAGCCCACATTCTTTTGTTGGATTTGCTTGTTGTTGTTTTTTTTGTGTTTTTTTAATCATACATTTTCTACAACCACGGCCAACATCTGAGCTTGCTTTCTGGAAAGCAACTTCTTTTGTGAACACGCAATAGGGAATAACAGAAGAAGAGTAATGTGACTATCAAGATGTCATGATTTCATGTTGATCAGGCCTGAAAAGTCAACAAGAAATGTCTTTAACATCGTTTTTTTCTATTTTCTCCCACCAGTTCCCTGAAACTTGGCAATGATTCCGGTAACATCTGAAGACTTTCTCAAAGTTATCCTCATGCGGTCTGGCTGAGCCACTGTGGCCGAGTCTCCTGTATCCTTGACATTGCGAAGTTTCATGAGAATTTGCCTGATGCCGGGAGCACACTTGTCAGCTGTTTCTTTGCACTCAGCACTTTCTGTTGGCTGGTATAACTGAGAACCTAGAAACAGCTGCATGGCAGGGACAGCCGGTCTGTCTTCTAAACTCTTTCCAGGACTTGAAAAAGTACCTACAATATTTTGCTCTGTCAACTGGACCGCATTCAATGACTCTGTCATGTGTTCAGTAGGCTCGAAACTAGTCAATATTTTAGCAATACCGTCAGGATGCTGTGCTGTTCCGTTGGCTAAAGGACTAGATTTGGGAGCCCAATTTTGATTACTTGATGCTTCATTTGGTAACGGTGTGTGTGCTACTCTTGGCTCCTCCGAGTTCCCAGTACAAATAGCTTTTTTACTATCAAATCCATTACTCACTTCTCCATTTTCTTTATTCATTTGGCATTTTGCAGCTGGTTCCAGGGACATTTTTGGAACAGTCTCATAGCTTGGAGTCTCACTTCCTTGCAAGCTACTTGGAGGAAACAGAGACTTTGTCACTGTGTACCTACGCTGCCTGTGGCTTCGGATGGGTCTGATTATATCATCAACGTTAGGATTCATTATGTGTCTTATTTTTCGTGCTTTGCTCTTTGGAGGCTGCTTCTCTGGTGTATATTGCCCAATCCTTAAAGCGTCCTTATTGCATTTTCTGTCTGTAGGCTCACCAATTATTTTGACATTGGTTGGGGTGGTTGGGGTTACAGACAGATGGCTTGAGTCGATATCTCTGTTCTTTTCATAACGGAAACTTTCAAAACTATTCAAGCCTGTAGGCTGAGGTTTCAAGAAAGGTGTAGCTATGTGTTTTGAATGAAGGTTAGGCGCTGTCTTGTAAGAAACAGATAGGAGCTCTTCTAAATTCTTATCTTTTTCTCGAGGTCTCTGAAAAGGAACCTTCGTGGGGGAAGTATCTTGTGAGCGTGTGATTCCGGCTTTGGGTGATGTTGTTCTATCACGATCATTCCCGGGATTTGAACTGCTTGAAGATTTTCCTGAATCGATGAAATTTCGCGGGTCTGACGTCTCAATGAACCATTCTACAAAAGACAACAGAGGAACATGAGGCAAACTCTTCACTAGCTGCCCTACCAATCTGGATCCTCCAGGTGTTGCTGCATTGTCCACTTTAGAGATTTTAGTTGGCGGTGAGTTCTTCTGTTTGTGGCCTAAGCGTTTGAGACCACAATGACCACTGTTGCTGGGCTTTGAAGAGATGTGAGCGCTGGACGGACGCTCAGGCCTTTGAGTCACTGGCTGGTGCAGTATATAATGGAAGGAGCCGCTGCGGCCTACGCGCCGGCTTAGCTCGTCAAGGCCGTCCACTGGAAAGTCATCGTTAACTGCACCCTCTCCACTCATCTCCGCTTTGTCATCTCCAGCCTGTTCCTGGACAAAAAAATCATGCGCTTTTTGATGTTCCATGCTTTTATTTCCTATAAATTGAGCTACAACATCTGTGTTATTGAAACTTTCAATACCAGAGGTAAAGTTGCCGTCTATTGAGTAATGTCCCCCTTGCTCTACCGAATCCGTCACATTTTCTATGATTTCACGTTGGGGTTGGGTTTTTTCAAAACCAATTACTTCATTTTGAAGTGTACTGGCATTTGTTGGACTGAGGGAGCAATTCTCTCTCCTGGCTATGTTAGAAGAACTGAACTGGTGAAAGCTTGAAGTGGCATCCAGCTGGCAAGAAGGGATTTCGTCTGTGTCACTGGGTCTCAGGTCTTCCGTGGCGGGTGATTCACTGGTGTCAGAATTTTTGCATTCAGAGATCTGAGTGATGATTTGGGCAGTGCTTGTGTTTTGTTTGTTCATTTTACACTGCTGTAGTTCTTCTCGCAGACGAAGTGCTCGTCTCACCCGTCTATCTAGTTCCGTCACGTCAGCATTTTGCCACATTGGTCTTATCAGACAGATGTTTTGCAACCCTGACAGTGGGTGAAATGTATTGCTCTCACTGATCTTCTTCGGAGTGGCGTTTGGTCTGGAATAGGTTGTGGGTGAAGTATTCCGGATCGAGTATGTCCTGTTCAGTAAGGTGGAATCCTCTTCCTCAACTAAAGAGCACAGCCCAGTGCCTTCTTGTACGTCTTTTGGAATTTTTACGTTTTTCTGATGGCTCTTATTAGCAAGGACTGTTTCCTTGTCTTTGCCTGGATGGGGAAGCATGTGGTTACTGCAGTCTTTGACGTCATTATCAGCATTGCTTTGCTCCTTTGATCTCTGTATACTCTCTGGAAAGGATTTTCTCGTGTGGTCTGCTGAATTCATCACTACCTCACTCGTCTTCAAATTTTCAGGTGGCATTTGTAAAGAACCATTGATATCCATTTCAGTTTTTGTCCCTATTACTTTTCCTGTCATGACCGGCTTATTTACAAAGGTTAACTCTTCTGATTCATTGTCTGTATTCTTTTTGCTTGTCTCAAACTCTGTTGTGTACTTATCGTACGCAGGTTTCATGAAATCTATTGCTCCAGAATTTAATGCTTTTCCTGAATGTTCAGGTGACCTTGGTAAGGAAAGCATCGATTCCTTACGTGAGTCAGAAATTACTTCTTTTTCTTCCAAACGTACAACTGAGACCCTGCGAGGTATACTGCTTCTTTGGCGTCTTAAGAAAGGTCTCGGTTTCATAGGCCTGTGCAATTTATTGCATATTAGTTTCGGCAGCAGGGAGCGAGTTTTCATGTTTTTGGCAGCTTTAATTTCAATTTTTGTGGAATTCAAAGTGGGGCTGGTCTGAACTCCCACATGCTTTGAAATGGACGATTTACTTTTACTGGAAGCCTCCACGTTTTGGGAAATATTTTCTGTTTTTGTCGATCTGGCACTTGTGGACGGATTTTTGTCGACATCGGTTGGTACGTTTCTAATTGAGTCCGTTTGAATTGAATGAATTTTGTATCTTTGTATATGATTGAAGCCTGTTTCTTTCTGATCGCGTATATCCCATATCTTATTGTTACCCTTGGGTAGACGGTTCTTAATGTAACGTTTCTGTTGGTTTCTTCTATGTTCCGTGGTCTCAGGTGAAAACGTAGCTTTGCGTGCTAAGCACAATGCATTTCCCTTAAATCTATGATTACTCCTTAAAGAGTCGTTGTTTTGTCTTGACCCCCTTCTTGCTCTTATATGACTCACACTCCGCCAGTCATAAGGCAGTCGAAAATGGCACCTTTCCTGTTCTTTAACTTTTACTTCCTCGCCTTGCTGACCACTGTCTGGTTGACAGTTTTTGCCGTGTGGCCACAACAATTTGGTGATTCTCTCTCTATCAGCCAAACGAGCAGGTCTGCTCCCAGCAGAAGAGTCTCCGTAGGGGTCGTGATACATCTCAGAACCCACTTCCGAGACACCAGACGCCACAACATGGCGGCAGTCATAACCTGGGTTCTCGTTCATGTCAATTTCGAGAGAAAAGTCTGGCTCTGAAGCTGGAGCTCTGCCCATGTGAGGTAGCACTACGAATCTCTTTTCTTTGCAAGGACTGCAATTGTTCTTGTTCAGTTTCCGCTGACTGTGGGCGTATGCTGAGCTACTGCTGCTACTTGCTGTGTCCATCTTGTATGGTTCGTGACGGTGCGAGCGGAGTCGATGACATCGATGATGGTACCTAAAGGAAAAATTACCAAACTCAAATAGATAAAAATATTATTTTACAGAATTGTGTATTGACGTTCAGATAGACTGGTCCATGATCCAATGGAAAACCAAATTATAATCTTACTGAGCTGAAAGAGCTTTTAAATACCTTGCATAGAAGCCTCTTCCTCCTTTCCTCTCTCTGTCTATGTCTCTGTCTC